AGGTGTGGCAGATATGGAACGGTTGGTAAGGTGGATGCGTCTGGCAGCAGCATTCATGATAGACTGAAGAGGGGAAAGCCTGCAATTAGGTAGGCCAATGAGAGAGGGAGTTCCGTTTTAGAGAAATCTAATTTGAGGAAGTGGAGTGCTATATGGTAGAAAGATGGGTTACTGTAACGAGAAGGAGTGGTAGGGGCTCACAGAAATGGAAGGCTGGCCCGGGGTTTGTACACCCAAACAGATTTGCTATGTTGGGTGAAGATGTGGCTGTGGTAAGCTCAGGGGTGCCAGCCCTGGATGTCACTACTATCCCTAACAGCAGGGAGAGCAGACCATCTGGAAGGGGTGGTGAGGGTAGTGCAGGAAAGCCTAGATAGCTGGTGGTAGTAGGGGATTCTTTTATCAGAAGGACTGATAGAATCATTTGTCACCAGGATCACCTTAACCCAATGGTTTGCTGTCTCCCTGGTGCCAGGGTTTGGCACGTGGTGGCCCGGGTTGATAAATTACTGGGAGGGGCTGGGCATGACCCAGCTGTCTTAGTTTATGTTGGAACCAATGACAGAATACATGGAAGGTGGAGGCTCCTTAAGAATCAATTTAAAGAACTAGGCTACAAGTTGAAGGAAGGGACCTCCAAGGTTATATTCTCTGAAATATTACCTGTGCCATGCGCAAATCAGGAAAGACAGGTGGAGATTAGAGAACTCAATGCATGGCTGAAGACCTGGTGTAAGAGGGAAGGATTTGGGTTTCTATAGTACTGGGCTAACTTTTCATTGGGGTGCAACATATATGCTAGAGCTGGTTTGTACCTAAAAGGGGGTGTGCTGTGCTGGGGGAGAGGTTTATGGGAAGGCTGGAGGAGTATTTAAACTAGGATTGAGGGGGGAGGGAGAATTAGACTATAACTGGGCAGACAGATCAGACAGAGGTCAGTACTTATTGGTGGATGGAATGGGGAAAGATGGGGGGAAGGCTATGGCAGATAAGAAGGTTCTCATGTTGAAAACAACCAGTGGAATTGGTACCATTTGTATGGAAATAAAAAATATGCAAAATACTTGTGAACAAGGTGTCCATTAATTAAAGTGTTTGTTCACCAATGCCAGAAGTCTGCCAAGCAAAATAGGTGAGTTGGAAGCTTTGGTGCGTGAAGAGAATTGATTTAATTGGTATTGCTGAATCTTGGCTTCATTCTTCACATGACTGGGCCATTAATATTCCTGTCTATGTTCTCTTTCGAGGAGACAGGGTAAATAGGAAAGGTGGTGGTGTCTGTCTCTATGTGAGAAGTGATCTCAGAGTAAGTGTGAAAGAGGACCTAGTTGATGGAGAGTGTGATGAGGCGGAAGTATTACGGGTGGAACTGCACATGGGGGTGCATACTACAAAGGTAATCATTGGAGTTTGCTATAGGCCTTCCGATGTTAATGAGGAGGTGTAGACTCCGCTCCTTGCACAGATTGCAAGGGCTGGGACAGTGATAATAGTGGAGGATTTTAACTACCCATAAATTGACTGGAGTAATGGTACTGCAGGAACAGTTAAAGGGCAAACATTTTTAAACCTATTACAGGACAATTTTATGGTACAGGTCATAGGGGCTCCTACTAGCAAAGATGCTCTGCTGAACCTGGTAATCTCAAACCATGCAGAGCTTATTACAAATGTCCATATAAAAGAACATCTGGGTAGCAGTGACCATAACATGATTTCATTTATTGTGAGCTGTAAACAGCGAACACATACGGGAAAAATAAAAACGATCAATTTTAAGAGCTAATTTTCCAAGGCTCAGACCTGCTCTCCAAGACTTAGACTGGGAGAGAATATTGGCATCGATGAACACAACACAGAAATAATAGTTCTTCAAAAAGACTGTATGTGAACATACTTCAAAATATAGTCCCATGGACAACAAGTTTAGAAGAGGCTACAAATCAAACCTATGTGGCTTACTGCCATAGTTAAAAAAGGCATGGATAATAAGAAAAGAGCTTTTATTAAATATAAAAATGAAGGAAAGCGATCATCGTTTAAACATTACAAAGGATATAACAGAATGCAAAAAGGAAATTTAAAGGCTGCAAAAATTGAAAATGAATGACAGATTGCAAAGATAGGACCAGCTCCAAAAATTCTTCAAATATATTAATAGTAAAAAGGTCCGGTCCGAGAATGTAGGCCCTTTACAAAATAATCTAGAATGGGTTACAGGGGACAAAGAGAAGGCAAATTTATTAAATACCTTCTTCAGCTCTGTGTATACAAAGGAGCATGGGGGAGCTCTTGACCATAATGGGCATGGTATTGACACAACTCCAGATGATCCACATTGGCTTACAATTGATATCCTAAAATATTTAGACAGAATAAAGGTGAATAAAGCACCTAGATCGGATGGCATACACCCACGGGTCCTTAAATAATTGAGCTCTGTCATTTCAAAGCCATTGTTTCAAATTTTTAGGGACTCTTTAATGACTGGCATAGTACCACTGGATTGGTGTAAGGCCAATGTGGTGCCTATATCTAAAAAGGGGTCAAAATCTTTACCAAGAAATTATAGACCTGTTAGTCTAACTTCTATAGTTGGGAAGATACTGGAGAGTTTCATAAAAGATCACATGGATGAGTTCTTGCTGGAAAAATATATTTTAAGCAACAGACAGCATGGATTCATGAAAGACAGAAGTTGTCAAACAAATCTGATTTCTTTTTATGAGGAGGTGAGCAAAACCTTGTACAGAGGGGTGGTGGTGGACGTGGTATACTTGGATTTTGCAAAAGCGTTTGACACAGTTCCCCACACACGGCTAATGTGTAAGGTAAAGTCTACGGGCTTGGAAAAATCCGTATGTAAATGAATAGAAAACTGGCTAAAAGATTGTTTTCAAATAGCAGTGGTTAATGATTCATACTCTGAATGGTCTGGGGTCATCAGTGGTGTACCCCAAGGTTCAGTGTTGGGACCCTTACTTTTTAATATAGTTATAAACAATATAGGGTCTGAGATTATAATTCACATTTCAGTCTTTGCAGATGACACCAAGCTGTGCAGTGGAATAACTGCCTTACAGGATGCCTTCAAATAACAAGCTGACCTCCGTGCACTGTTTAATTGGGCAACTATGTGGCAAATGAGGTTCAATGTTGATAAATGTAAGGTTATTTACTTGGGGGCTAAGAATATGCATGCATCATACATACTAGGGGGAGTACAACTGGAGGAATCAATGGTGGAGAAGGATCTGGGAGTTCTGGTAGATCACAAGCTTAATAATGGCATGCAATGCCAAGCTGCGGTTTCTAAAGAGAACAAAATCCTCTCTTGTATTAAGAAGTATAGACTCCAGAGAGAGAGAGGGAGAGATCATAATTACCCTGTACAAATCATTAATAACACCTCATCTGGAATATGCAGTTCAGTTTTGGGCACTAATTCACACAAAGAACATTGGGCAACTGGAGAAAGTACAGAGAAGGTCAACCAAATTGATAAGAGCCATGGAGGAGATCAGCTATGTGGAAAGATTAGAGGAACTGAATTTATTCTCTCTTGAGAAGAGGAAATTGAGGATATGATCAACATGTCAGTGGTTCATATAGTGGACTTGATGTAGAGCTATTCACCCTGATGTCATCAGAGAGGACAAGGGGGCAGTCTTTACGTCTGGGGGAAAATAAATTTAATCTCCAAACACGGAAAGGTTTCTTCGCAGTGAGAGCTGTGAAAATGTGGAATAGACTCCCTCAAGAGTTGGTTCTGGCCAGCTCAGTGGATTGCTTTAAATAAAGGCTTGGGTTCTTTCTTCGATACACAGAATATAACTGGATACTAACATTTATAGGTAAAGTTGATCCAGGGAATATCCGATTGCCTCTCGGGGGAGCAGGAAGAATTTTTTTTTTCCCTGCACGAGCAAATTGGATCATGCTTTGCTGGGTTTTTTTGCATTCCTCCAGATCAACTGTGGGTATAGGATTATAACTTTTTTGTAATGTTTGAACTGGATGGACTTTTGTCTTTTTTTTCAGCCAGACTAACTATGTAATCACTTAGGTTAGTAATGCGAGAGGAGACTAAAGGGGTGAGGTGAAGAGTAGAAAGATAGATTTGTGTGTCATCAGCATAGAGATGATACTTAAATCCATAGGAGTTTATCAACTGACCAAGGTGGGAGGTGTAGATGGAGAAGAGAAGGGGTCCTAGGACAGAACCTTGAGGGTTCCCTACAGAAAGAGGAAGTGGAGAGGAGGAGACAGAGTTCTAGGTATTGCTGAAGGAGCACTGTGATAGGTAGGAGGAGAACCAGGAGAGAGCAGATTCTCGGAGGCCAAGAGAGTTTTTTGAGGAGGAGGAGATGGTCAACAGTATCAAAAGCTGCAGAGAGGTCAAGTAGTAAAAATACGGAGTGGTGGCCATTGGTTTTAGCAGTTAGTAAATCATTAGTGAGTTTTAGTAGGGCAGTTTTAGTGGAGTGAGCGAAAGCCAGACTGTAAAGGGTTAAGAGGTTGTCAGTGAGGTAGGAGCTCCGGTGATTGTAGGCCAAGTGTTCTAAGAGTTTAGAGGTAAACGGGAGCAGGGAAATGGGTCTTAAATTGTTCAGGTTGGTGGGGTCCAGCAACAGCTTTTCAAGTATGGCAGTGATCTGTGCATGCTTTAACAGTTAACATGCATAAAACATTTTGGTTAAAATGTTGGTTGTGAAGTAGGCATATAAAGCTATACTTCTGTGGAAGTGGAAAGGTTGCTTCCACCTGAAAGCCAACAGTTGACTTGCCTGACGTACATGCATTCCCAGTGTGTGCAAGTGTATTTGTATGTGTTTGTGTGAACTCCCCTTTTCAAGAAAATTGAAAAGTAGGATAAAAAAATAAAGTGCAGCTTTGAAGAATGTTGACTAATGTAATTGCCATACCTGTTGGCCATTTGCCTCATTTTCATTCTGATCATTTTATGTGTGTGTATTTATTTATGTATTTATTTTTTATAGAGGGGTTCTGACGAACTGCTGTCAGGAAGTGTTCTTAATGGTCCAAGCTCTAACTTAAACAGCATAGTTGTGACTG